CTCGCCCTCTCCCGCCGCTCGAACTTGCCCCAGGTCCTCCCCAGGTAGACCCCCTCCCCGCGCCAGATCCTGCTCCCTCAGGTGTTTCTCAGGTAGACCCTCCCGTCCCTGTGCCTGTTGAGGTCACTGGTGACTTCGGTCCTGCTGGTGGTGGTGCTGTCCTTGGGGGTGCGGAGCTTGGGGGTTTACAGCATGGGGGTGCTGAGTCTGGGGGCACTGGGCGTGAGGGGCCTGAGGGTACGGAGCCTGGGGGTGCTGAGCCTGCGCATGAGGAGCCTGGAGGTCCTGCGTCTGGGGGTGTTGCGTCTGGGGGTGCTGAGTCTGGGGGTGCTGAGCCTGCGTGTGCGGAGCCTGGGGGTGCTGAGTCTGGGGGTGAGTCGCCTGAGGTTCCTGAGAGTGCTGTTACGCGGTCCCCTTGGAGTAGCCATCTTCGTTCGCTTGTGCCTCTCACCTCCCCGGAGCTGCACTACTGGTACGGTCGCCGTCAGCGTCGCGCTTCTGCACCTCAGGGCTCTACTGCTGGGGGTTCTTCTGCTGGCGTCACTGGAGCTGGGAGTGGTGCTGGTCCTTTGCCTGCTGGAGGTATTAGTGTCGCTGGTCCCGGAGGTGCTCGTACTGGGAGTGCTGGAGCTGTTGGGGCTGACGGTGGCGTGTCTGAGGGTGCTGCTGCTGGTGGCACTGCGGTTGGAGACCCAGGGACTGGAGGTGCCGGTTCTGGGGGTGCTGCACCAGGTTGGGCTGGTGCTGAGGGTTCTGGAGCTGCTGGAGGTGCTGGGGCTGCTGAGGGTACTGGGACTGCTGGAGGTGCTGGAGCTGTTGAGGGTACTGGAGCTGCTGGAGGACTGGAGCTACTAGGGGTACTGGAGCTACTGGAGCTGCTGGAGGCGCTGGAGTTGCTGAGGGTGCTGGAGCTGCTGGTGCTGGTGGCACTGCACAGCCGCGCCTATTCTTTGCTCCGCCGTCTCCGTCGTCTCTGCCCCCGACTGGCTCCGTGCTTCGCCAGGATCTTAGCCTCCTGTCGTCTACTGGTCTTCTGTTACAGCCTAGCTCACCCCTGCCTGCTCCTTCTCCTTACACTGAGCAGACAGGGGGCCTTGCTGAGCGTCGTGAGCCTGCGTCGGGTCCTGTCTCGCCTGTCCTTTCCCGTCGTTCCAGTTGTCGTGTTCCTCCTCAGCGTCAGCCGGCTGTCCCCGGCCCTTCCCTTGTCGTCTGTCGTCCTTCCTCTCCGCCATCACGTGTTCCCCTGCCGTCTCCGCCTGCGTCCTCTCTACCTGTCGTTGCTGACCCTGAGTCTGACCGGTTTCGTGTTGAGCACCCTACTGTCACGCGTCTGCTAGCCACTCTTGTCGCCGACTCGTCGTTTGAGTCTGCTGCTGCGTCTGCCTTAGTCGCTGAGCTTGTCGACTTTGCTGCTCATTGTCGTCTAGACTACGCCGCTAGTCTTGTTGCTGAGTCTGCGTCTGTCTGTCCTCCGTCCGTCGGGGGTGAGTGTGCTCTTGGCACGGGCGTCCTTGAGGACAGGCAAGAGGACCTTGAGTGTCTTGCAGCCACTGCGCCTCATCTCGTGTCCATGCTGATTGCCCCTGAGGGAGACCCGATGCACCAGACATCCCGACTTCACGATCGTACGCTGAGGCGATCAAGGGTCCCTACTCCTCTCAGTGGCAGACAGCCATGGACGCAGAGATGGCATCCTGGAAGTCCACAGGCACCTACGTCGACGAGGTTCCCCCTCCCGGGGCGAACATCGTCATTGGCATGTGGATTTTCAGGGTGAAGCGGCCGCCAGGTTCTCCACCTCTCTTCAAGGCTCGTTACGTTGCTCGAGGCTTCAGTTAGCGAGAGGGAGTTGACTTCTTCCAGACCTTCTCCCCCACCCCAAAGATGACTACTCTTCGGGTGTTGCTGTAGTTTGCCGCTCAACGTGACTGCAAGCTTCACTCTCTTGACTTCAGCACAGCTTTCATGCACGGCAGCCTGCACGAGGAGATCTGGCTGCGCCGTCGACCTAGCTTCACTGGGTCGTTCCCTCCTGGTACCAAGTGGAGCCTCCGACGGCCAGTCTACGGTCTCCGCCAGGCGCCACGTGAGTGGGACGACACACTGAGGACGACTCTTGCGGCTCTTAGGTTTGCCCCGTCGACTACTGACCCGTCGCTGTTTCTGCGCACCGACACTTCACTCCCGCCATTCTACATCCTAGTGTACGTCGACGACTTGGTCTTTGCCACTGCTGACACTGAGGCGCTCGCCCTGGTGAAGTCGGAGCTGCAGAAGAGACACACGTGCACAGACCTGGGTGAGCTGCGCAGCTACCTTGGCTTGCAGATCACCCGGGACAGAGCACGCCACACCATCACATTGATTCAGTCACACATGGTGCAGTAGGTCCTTCAGCGCTTCGGCTTCACCTGATCCTCAGCACAGGCCAATCCTCTGGCTACACGTCACTCGCTATCAGCTCCACCTTCGGACGAGTCCATAGAGTCGAGTGGTCCTTATCCAGTGCTAGTGGGCTGCCTCATGTACCTGATGACCTATACTCGTCCTGAACTTGCGTACCCTCTTGGCCTTCTAGCTCGCTATGTGGCTCCTGGTCGGCACCAAAAGGTGCACATGGATGCTGCTAAGAGTGTACTACGCTACTTGTGCAGTACATCGGGCATGGGGCTCGTGCTTGGAGGACGGGGTGACGTTGTCCTCATTGGTCACTCGGACGCCTCTTGGGTTGACGACCAGGCTACGCAGCGGTCGTCACAGGGTTACACCTTCAGCCTTGGTTCTGGTTCAGTTTCCTGGCGTTCTACACGTTCGTCGTCAGTTCTCGACTCCAGCTGTGAGGCCGAGATCTACGCCACAGCCATGGCTGCACAGGAGCTACGCTGGCTCACCTACCTGCTGACTGACTTGGGAGAGCGGCCTCGTTCTCCTCCAGTGCTGTACGTCGACAACAAGGCCGCCATTGCCTTGTGTCAGGAGCACAGACTGGAGCACAGAACAAAGCACATCGGTCTGCGTTACTTCCTTGCTCGAGAGCTGCAGCAGCGTGGCCAGCTTCGCCTTGCTTACGTGGCCACTCGTGCCAACTCTGTTGATATATTCACGAAGGCGCTTCCGGCAGGTGATCATTAGCGTTTCTGCACCTTATTAGGCCTAGTGCCCACACTTCCTCACTTGCTGTAGGCTTTGTTTGTACTGTGATCTATATATATATCTCTGCATGTGAACTGGCCTTGTGGTCTTTTGCTTGTGCTCAGACTGCGTGGTGACGTTGTGATCCACCCTGAGGTGTGTTTTGTTTCTTCTCTTGACTGGTCTTGTGACTATTGCTTGCTCTGGCTATCCCCCATTTCGCCTATGGGGGTGTGTCAATTTATATATATATATGCTTGTTTAGGTTATCTAGGCTGTATGGGGGTTAGCACTAGGGGGTACACAAACTTTCTCGACACCCTTGTCTTGTACCCTAGCCTTCACCTAATTCACTCATTCTTGCCTTAGGTTCTTAACATATTAAACCCTCAAAATTCTTTGTCTGGAACGACAAATAAAAACCTGACAGAACGTGATCAACTGTACGTCTCCAAAGCAATTGGATATTAAAAGTAGTGCCTTACAAGATCTGTGCAGTCATACAACCACCTATGCCTTGGCTTTCTGATTTTCGTGGAAGATCTGTACAGCCTGGCTGGCATGGCGGGCAGTGTATACAGCTTCTCCTCATACACCTGCTTCTGCCGCCACTGCTGCTACCACTGCTGCCGCCACTGCTGCTGCCATTGCTGCTGCCACTGCTGCTGCGACTGCTGCTGCCACTGCTGCTGTGACTGCTGCTGCCACTGCTGCTGCCACTGCTGCTGCCACTGCTGCTGCCACTGCTGCTGCCACTGCTGCTGCCACTGCTGCTGCCACTGCTGCTGCCGCCACTGCTGCCACTGCTGCTGCCACTGCTGCTGCCACTGCTGCTGCCACTGCTGCTGCCACTGCTGCTGCCACTGCTGCTGCCACTGCTGCTGCCACTGCTGCTGCCACTGCTGCTGCCACTGCACCCACCATGCTCGTCTCTCTTTCTTCTCTCTTTCTTGCCCTCGTCCCCAGCTTCCTTGCCTTGCCTCCCTCCTTCTACCCCGCCTCCCCTCTCCCCTCTCCCCTTCCCCTTTCCCGTCCACCCTGGTGATGACCACTTCCCCCTCCATAAAAAAAATGCCACCCAAGCAGGGCCTCAGAAGTCAGCGAAAAAGGCTGATTTAGGTTAAAAAGGCTGAGATTTCATACCTTTTTTAGAACTGAGGCTGATTTTCCAGCAATTTGGTGTAAAGAAACAGGAAAATTTACTAAATTTGTAGTGTAAAATGGCATAAAATGGCTGATTTGTCTGATTATCAGCAAAACGTTTTGTACCAACTCTGATTTTTCAGCCTAGCCCAAAACGAATCTGAGGCCCTGTCTCTATGCAGCTCCCCTCATGTACAGTGGTATCTTGCCCAACCAACCCTGCACCTGCTTCTGTCCAACTGCAAGGCACGAGCTCCACTCCACACGACCATTCTCCAACGCTCTGCAGCATGCAAGTTGAGCCGTGCACAACCACCATTTCATGCCTCGTTGATGCACACCCTTGCCTCCATGCCTCTCCTCCATATTCCCTAGATTGCTACAGTCGAATCTCATCTCCCTCACTCACCTCAACCACTCTCTACCACACTACATGGCTATCCACCTGCACACGTCTTCAGTAAGATAGAGGTTCCATTTTGGTAGGCGGACAGTCTGCAGCTTTCTAAGGGCAGTCAGCTGAAGCAGCCCATCATCAGTGACTGCCGTGCCCCACAGGTCAAGCTCCTTAAGCCCTGTCAGCCTCCCCACATGCACCATCCCAGCACTTGTCACACCCTTGCATGCGTCAAGGTTCAAATCTTTGAGAGAGGAGAGACCTGTCAGCTGCTGCAGCCCATCATCTGTCACTGTGGCGCCCGTTAACCAAAGTTCCTCAAGCCTTGTCAGCCTCCCCACATGCACCATGCCAGCACCTGTCACACCCTTGCATTCCAAAAGCCACAGCACTTTGAGAGAGTTAAGACCTGTGAAGTGCGCCAACCCAGCATCGGTCACATTTGCCTTACCGAGATAGAGCCGCTCGAGACTGGTCAACGACCCAATGCCTTCCAAGGCACTGTCTGAGACGTCTGTGCTGGTGAGGCTAAGTACCCGTAGCCGTGGCAGCCTGTAGAGGTGCTTGATGCCCTCTGCACTGAAGCCTAAAGTATTGAACAAGATAATGCACGTCAGGTGGGTCATGGTGGAGACATGGGCGAGCATGGCGTCTGAGACACCTTTGAGATACTTGAGGTGCAGGGGGTGCTTCTTTGCTGACTTGACTGCCTGGTGAAAACGAGTGAAGAGGGAAAATATGGAAAGGAAAGGGTTGATTGCGGTGAGAAGAAAGAGCTAGCAAGCGATGCATGCACCATGAAACAGTTCCCTCAGCACTGACCTGCCATGCCGTCTTCTCATCGCCTTCACTCTCGCTGATTTGCAGATCAACATCCATCTCCCACTGCATGCGAGCATCCAACTGCATGCGAGCATCCTTCAATCCAGCCATCTTGCCCTTCACTGCTGCCAACTTCCTCTTCACTACTCCCAGCTCCCTCTCCCTCTCCTCCACCTGTCGTCTCAGCTCAATCAAACCCGCTGCTCTTTCCTGCTCACCCTCCTCCAGTTCCACCTTTAATGCTGCCAGCTCCCTCTCCCTCTTCTCCATCTGCCCTCTGATCTCCCTCATCTCAGCCACTCGACTGCTCTCACCCTCCTCCAACTGTAATGAAGTGGACTGGTTGTGCCCACCCACCCCCCCCTGTACCTCACCCATCCCCCCCTGTACTTCACCCACCTCCCCCTGTACTTCACCCACCTCCCCCTTCACCTCACTCACCTCTCCCTTCACCTCACTCACCTCTCCCTTCACCACTCCCACCTCCCCCTTCAGTGCGGCCACATCCCCCATCACCCCCCTCACCTCCCCCTTCACCTCCCCCTTCTCCTCACCCGTCTCCCGCTCCACCTCTCCCTTCACCTCTCCCTTCACCTCCCCCTTCACCTCCCCCTTCACCTCCCCCTCCACCTCCCCCTTCACCTCCCCCTTCACCTCCCCCTTCACCTCCCCCTTCACCCCCCCCTTCACCCCACCCATCTCCCTCTCCTCCTCCTGCCCTATCATCTCTAACACTCGTCTCCTCTCACCCTCCTCAAGCTGCAAAGTAGTTGACTGCTTGTGCTCAACCACCTCCCCCTTCACCTCACCCATCTCCCCCTTCACTGCAACAATCTCCTCCCTCATCTCTCGCATATCTGAGTCTCTCCTCTCAGCCACATCCCGTTTCTCAAGCATCGCACCTTTGAGATCAGCCAACTCCCTCCTCACTGCTGCCAACTCTCTCTCCTTCTCCTTCATCACAGCAGCCATTGCCTCGTTCCTCTCCTCCGCAACAGTCAGCATGTGCCGCAGCTCATTCACCTCCTCCTTGCGTGCGGCCAGCTCCTCTCTCACCGGTGCTAGCACCGCCTCATTGACCAAACCATTTAGTAAACTCATCGCTCTCTCAGCAGCCATATCCTCCACTCACTTCCTTCACACATCCCACTTTCGATGACCGAACCCTCAAATGACTTTTTCACTGCAGACTTGTGAAAGCAAGCAGACACGTGCTGCCTGAGAAGGGCAGGATCGAGAGTCATGATTGAAAAAACAGAAACGCAAAAACAACAAGGGAGAAGGGGCATGGTCAGTCAACGAACAAGATAGAATTTTGCGGGCGTGAGGGATGAGACAGTGACGAGAGGAACAAAGAAGATAAGGAGCAGCAGAAGAGGGAGACTTGAATTGACTGGCACACAGAGGGCTGGCACACAGAAGGCAGAAGTATGTACCGCTTTTCTGTTCTTTTGGATGCTGTCATCCTCCTGTACAAGAATGAAGCGCCGCTGGTTGGAGCTTTGCAAGGAACAAACCAGGGTTGGTTTGGCCATTGGAAATAGTGAGGTGACGTGTAGCAGGGAGTCAGGCCTGACTCAGCCATTGCTCGGCCATAGGCCGTAGTAGTGGTATAAGACAAGAGAATCAAGATGCTTGGGAACGGTTAGTGCTGGTAAAGAAAGCGGTTGGAATTGTTATTGCGATAATTTGGAGGTTCAGAACTAGCAACTGTTGAGACAATGTGTGACAGCTACAGAAACCATCTCATTCGTAGGTGGGTGGTTGGTCAGAGGCTACGCGAGTCACAGGTTAGGTCACTCACACAGTAAAGTACTCACAAGCTAGGCCACACAGATGCAAGGTCACTAACATCAACAACAAGCTTGGGCAGTCACCAGTTACGGCACCGATGAGGTCAGTCACAATTTACTTGCGGCACTCATAAGTTAATTAGGGGAGTCACAAGTTACTTACAATTACGGCACTTGGTTAGGGAAGTCGGAAGTTGGAGCAATCGCGAGAAAGGGTCAGAAGCTTTGTCCATCAGGAATTGGGACACGTGCTTGGTAAGTCACTGACTAGGTTAGTCATAGGAAGTTCGACCATAGCCTTCACCTTCCACTAGCGAGGTCAGACCTAAGTTAGAAAATACGCTCAGGGAGCTGAACACAGTGTAAATGCATTTGCCATTGACGCAATAATCACTACGCTCGACACGACAATATGGATTACAGTACACAAAACGTACAGTACTCACTATGCGAATCGGCATAAAAACTCAAAACACTTACATTCAGATCGTTTGCTTTCTTCCCAAGTACATGTGTTGACCACCTCAACCACACCTTAATGCATGAACCTTACCCAACATTTTCTGTCCTCAAAATTTGCTGCACTCCTTCTCTCACACAGATTTCTACAACCACACCTACTACCCCTCTTCCTCCGCCTTTTTCCTCCCCCACCTAATCTGTGCACGTAGACTAGCAGTATTCCTGTCAAATCAAGAAGAAACTTCAGTGCTGCTAGCCATATCCGAATCTGAAACAAACATAAAATCGTAACAGATCTGAACTGTCGTGAGTGATATAAAATCATCTTTACAGGATAGAACGTTCCAAATTCGTAACGAGCTAGGCCGGTTGGGGTCTAGGTCGGTCAAAGGCAAAGCTCCTCCCAAGATGGGCCAGTCGAGGCTAGCTTCCCCACAAGGTAGGTCAGCCAGGGCAGGGCCTATGCTAGTCATTCAGAGGCCAGGTTGGTCACCAGCTGGCTGGGTAAGCCAAGCTAGGTCACTCACGGATTAGGTCAGTCGGAGGCTATGACAGCCACAGGCTAGGTCAGTCAGTGACAATTCAAATCAGTGTGAGACTCAGTCAGTCAGGAACAATGTACTCATAAATTTAGTCACGCACGGGATAAGACAACCACAAACAGAGACACTCACTATATGCTAGGTCATGGCATTGGTGGTTTCCACGCTAGGTCAAGCACAAGCTAGGTCTAACACAAATCAGGTCAGTGATAGGCTAGGATGGTTACATCACATGTTAGGTCACTTACGGGCTGAGTCAGACACAAGCTCAGTTAATAGTCATGGGCCAACAGTGGGTCATTCACAACAACCCGAGTCAATCACATGCAAGCCTGCGAGGCCAACCACTGGGCAGGTTAGATACAAACAGCAAATCAAGTTTTGACTTGACTCGCCCAAGTCATGTGTGTCAAGTGGAGTCAGTTCGATTGATTTGTTTGTTTACATAAAAACGGGTCGATGCGAGTCGGCTAAAGTCTAGCTAGCCAATGTATCGCCAAGTTGGTGACTCAATAAGATGCATCTGACTCGTTGCTAGTCGAGTAGGTTGCGTTGCCGCAACCCAATTTCTGCACTTACCTTGAGGTCAATCAACAACTTCTCGGGAAACTGAATCTTGCAAATTTGCGATCCAATCTCCAACTTAGCTCGTCTTTATCTCGCCAAACAATCCGGCTTGAATCGCTTTCCTTAGTGCCCGGTCCACCTTAGCTAGTCTTGTCTTCACTCCAAGCGATTCGCTTTAGGTCTATACTACCTTAGTGCTGCCACGCAACCCGCTTGGGTCATATGTGCGCAGCACCGTCAAGAAATCTGTTTCAGCTCGTAGCAATTCTTCACTGAAACAATAAATCTTCTCTAACGTTTCATCGGCATTCTATAAGCGACTTACCAGGTTGAATCAATCTTGACACCCAAGTAGATTCGAGTCAGGGGGCAACGTTTGACTCGACTCGACATAACCCAACGTTACTCGAGCTGAGACTGAGCCAACTCGACTCGCGCTGTGCACATGTCTGAGAGCCACAGGCTAGGTTAGTCACAAATTATTCCAATCGCAATCTATTCCGTCAAGGTAGGCCAGTCACGGAAAGATCAATCAGGTTGGGCCACTCACCGCCTAGGTTGTCACGCGCTGAGATGGGCCCACAGGCTAGGTCGGCCAGAGCCTGGAAGAGTGACAGCGTGAGTGTCTGAACCAGGGCGGAGAAACACAGCACAGGAAGAGGCCGGGCAACAATGAGAGCCTAACCAAGGCTAAGTCACTCTAGCGTGGGTCAATCAGAGCCTAGGTCAATCAGAGCCTAGGTCAATCAGAGCCTAGGTCAACCAGAGCCTAGGTCAATCAGAGCCTAGGTCAATCAGAGCCTAGGTCAACCAGAGCCTAGGTCAATCAGAGCCTAGGTCAATCAGAGCCTAGGACAATCAGAGCCTAGGACAATCAGAGCCTAGGTCAACCAGAACTTAGGTCAATCCGGGACTAATTCAATCCGAGACTATGTAAGTGACAGCATGGTGAATGAGGCTAGACAAAAAAGTAGCAACACGGAAAGGACCCAGGTTAAGAATGCGGTTGGTCACAATCTGAGTGCGGTCACAGGCTTGGATTGCCTGGGTGAGTGGTAGCGGGAGTGGCTGAACCAGCACGGAATTAACAATGCTACGATAGGCAAGAATATTATAAGGTGCCAGCATGCATCAAGGTGGTCGTAGTTTCTTGGCGGTGTGCAAGCAAGGAATTCGCTATGTAACATTTAGTTGGCCCGCTCTGATCATCAGAAAATACGATCACCATGACTCGTAGGCTGTGAGCCTCAGGCTCGCACGCAATGCGGACCGCCGACGGGGGAAAAGATTGGGAGGCTTACCTCTGATTAGGGTTTCGGCGCGTTTCCGCGGCTCTTGAAGCGACTCAGCAGCGGCGCGAGAAATTTCTGCAGTGCGTGCTGCGTGGTGGCGAAGCTAACGATTTCGAGAGTGCTGTGAGAAGCTTGTTGACACATGCTTGGAGTGGGAACGAAACGGGATCATCACCCAGCACTCAAATCTCGACTCGAGTTGTCACGGTTGCCTTTCAAAACACAGCCAATTGCGTTTCTTAGCAGTTACCACTGCAAATAGTTCGTCCGAGAAAGTGCCTTGATTCGTACGAATTGAGTCGCCTCTAGTCACCCTGGCACTGCTCCTGCCGTCACCTGTTGCCGTCACATTTACTTTCGCTCAGGTGACGACATTTGCGCTGCACATTCAGCATCTTTTGTGCACTCTTCGTCGAATCAGGTGAGGATGGTAACCCAGCTTCAACGAAGGAAACTACGAGAGCCGAATTTCTGTGGATATGTAAGGAAAATTCCTTTTCCTTACTTCTCGTCCTCCCTCGGCGCTATTACCACTATAGCACCACAGTCAGCACCGTTACCACTCGCAACTCTCGCATCGACAATCCTCCTGCCCACCTTCGCACGTCGCACCCCGACCTCACGGCTCGGCGGGTAACCCGCGCTCCGGGCCTACGCTTCGGCACTTTTCCCAACCTCAGTCCAAGGCCCGTCACGCGACAACCATAGTCCGTGACCGTTACCACTGTAGTTTCGCTATAATTCTCCGCTCATGCCTTCGCTCATTGTACTCTTGCTTTGATAGTGCAATTCTCGTTCGTTCACTCAATTGCACTCGTAACACTTGGTATTCAGAGCCTACGATCCCTTCTCAGACCGCACCCACACCTTCGCTTCCTCACTATCTCAAATTTTGGGGGGGGTAGACGTCTCTCAGTGACACAGCACCGCCGCTCGTAGTGCTCTCTCGTAAGCACGCACGGCCACGACCGAGGCTCTCGCTGAGCTCGCCCGACACCCCCGCCATGGCCAAATTCACGCTCGCCACATTGACGCGGAAGCAGCTCGACCGTCTGGTGCGCCAACTTGAAGATTCGGCGCTCGAAATTGCGACGCTCACGGCGGAACGTGACTCCGCGCGTCAGCAATCAGCGATGAACACTCCAGCGCCACCACACGCACCGACAAATGCATCTGCACAATCGGACGAGCCGATCGTCATCTCGTCCGGCACACCAACACAAAACAACAGCATGGGACAGCGCTCAAGCGCAGCCAGCGATGGTGTCGCCCAGCCGATGCCTGGCATGTCAGAATGTTATAATCTAGCCTGTAGTGGGGTGCTCTATAGCGGGTACAACCCATCTAGGGTTTGCTATATGTTCCTCATTGCTGCTAGTAAAATCCTCCTTCTCTTTGCCTAAACTTACACTTGCCTACCTAGGACTTACCTAGCTGTGGCTCCTCACTATAGCTACTATTCT